TGTTTACGTTGGCATCGGGTGGAATGTACACAGCCGTGATGATCACTACTGTTAGCTCTCTCGGTAGAAAAATAATGGAATACAGGAATAAAAAAGCCCTGTCACATATACTCCTTACTTCCTTATGCATCACTAAGAAAACACAGTTTCTGTATTAATCAAATCAATTTTATTTTACTTCTAGATCACATTAGTCTGGAGAGAATGTCTGCCTCCAAAAAACCAACTGGGTGAATTTCTTTCTCTCTGGTCCCCACTGATCAATTCCATTATTCAGTGAGGGTGGTTGACTGTAGACTGTAGCCCTGTTTCCTTGTATGCCTTATAGGCAGATGAGGGTGGTCTCTGGGACTATGGGTCTCTGGGACTTATATATAAGGGGCTCAGGATATTCTCTAAATAAAGGACGGCAATTTATATTTTCTCTATAATATTTACTTTGATTCATAATTTATAAAAATCCCAGTAAATTGTAAACAGGTTCTTGATAGAATCCCTCAATTCATCCACTGCCTGAAAAATAACTTCCAAGTCAGCTTCCTCCTGATTGGCCGTCTCCCATAACATGGTTTGAACAGCTGGAGGTGGACCTTCTGTCGTGCCCTTAAAAACAATTCAAATTGGGGTCAAACACACATTTATTAGAAAGGACAATTAAACACAAGTGCTCTAGTTCATAGCTTGTTGCCTCATTTCTCAATGATGATAGTATCCTATAATCCTCTGCCCAGTGTGTGCACGCATCATGCATTGTAACCAGTAGAAAGCTACTTTTGGCTGCTTCCTTGTTGCATGGGGTCACCACAGCTGTGCATGATCGACTTGGCAGTTATCAAGCCGGGTGGCCTTCCAGACATAAATCAAAGGGGATTTGGATCTGCAGCAATCTCCGACCAAGCGACTGTAAACCAAGACACTATGCATGCATTTATGTAAACACTGACCACAAGAACTTAAAATCCAAGAAGCAAGCAGTCACACCACATTTAAATATTGGCAGTCTTTATTTCAACAAGACTAAAAATGTTGTTTAATATACATTTTCTCTTACACTTTAACATCTATCTCATCTTGTTTTTCCATAACATTTAGGAGATACTCTGACAAGTAGAAATCTGGTGTACTTGTAGGGCCTCTTTTAGAGACATCTAAAACCGCTGCTTTTTATTTACACTCCCCCCCACCACTCTTTTCAGTCACTCACTCCATCCTCAGAGAGAGTCCTTTCTGTTCTTGTGGGCCAAAGGCATACATGGAAAGGTTTCAACAACAGTCCAACTTTAAAAGACACAAGACTGAACTCGCTCTGTGGACCGAATGGACGTCTTCCAGCAGCTGGACCAACTCCTGCCAGCTGGAAACGTTGCTGCCCTGGCCTGCAAGCACAGACATTTTTGTCACCGTCGTCAGCCTAAAACATTTCTTCCGTCTCTCCAAAAGTCGGGCTTCTTCACACTCCTCACACATGACACGAACACGTGCACGAGCCCTTGTGGAAATGTTGGTGGAACACAAGGGAGAAAAAACAGTAACCTAGAATTAAACTGGTCACCTGCAGAAGTAATGCCAAATCGAGCTGCTCAAGCACAGCTTTTTGATTTTAAATTAAGGCTTCAGTATTTCATACGGGTTGCATAGATGTTTCATCAAATCCTTCAAGGTCAGATCTTGATACGACGTCTTCGTCTGATGATTGCGGATGATAACTGATAACCTGAAGATGTCCCGTAAGCTCAAGATCAACCTGTTAATGTCAAAGCCAGACAACATGCAAAGGAATAAACTCCCATCTAATCACTTCATCCGTGCAGACTCGCATTAAAGCTGCAAATCTTTTCGCTATACTTTTACAAAAATGTATATTTCTGTCCACCTTAATCTGCACACTGAAACATTGTAGATGTTGCATTTTTGATAATGTGTAAGTTCTAAATGCATGTTTGAAATACATGGAATACATTAGTGCAGCAATGCTGCACGAGTCGGCATCGTTGTAGAGATGAGATGTTCAGGTAATGCAACTTAACAGACCCGATTATCAAATGAAAAGCTCCAAGAAAAAAAAACAAAACAAAACAAACAAAAAAAAAAAACATACATTGTGCTTGTCAGCTGGTAACAACATACTCAAACACCTCAGGGAATCTGAGCAGATAGATCATAAATCATCAACAACAGCCACTTTCTTTTCTTTTCCCAAAAACAAACAAAACAAAAAAAACGTAAGAAGATGCTAGTAATGTACCAAACATAAAAAAATAATCAGGCACCTTTCATTGCATTAATTTTGGTAGTAATTGTGAAAACACTTAACTTTGAGTTGAAATGATGAGAACCGTTCAGAATGAGTCCATTTATACTGACACAGGCCATTTAACGAGGTACAGCGTGTACTGTGGCACGCTGTGCACACTGACCAGGGCGCACCCCTTATCTGTGCACACTGACCTCTTCCACCACCTACAACTACCAGTAAAATCCACTGTAGTACCTAATATATATCTTCATACCAAAAAAAAAAAAAGCTAAAAATCTCAACACCTCCTCAACATAAAACCCTGTATTAAAATAATCTTTTCTAGATTTCCATTTGGTTAAAACACTGACTTTTGTTCCTCTTGTCTTGTTTAATTAAAATGCTCCCAAAACGTGCATGTTGCCCTCTTTTCTTTCCAAACGTTAAGACTGTATAGAGTCAGATCTTCTGTGCCGAACTGAGCTTACAGTACCAAAAAAAAAAAAAAAGAAAAGAAAAGAAAAAGAAAAAAAGAGGGCATTTGGGACATGTCAGCTTTGCCTTCTTGGGGGTTTAATGGCAGGGGACATATCCAACTCTATCAGACACTCAACCTTATGGTCTAGATCACATTGACTCAGTAAGCACGAGGTATAACCTTACTATTGAATTGCTTAAGCTGAAAGAAGTTCAGTGAAATAATAATGAAGAAATTTAAAGTTAAGATGCGAAATGCTCGCAGCAAACGTACATTATGCGTGTTAGGGGCTTGCAGAGCACCCCGCAGACTCTTCCACAGAACGACGCCATCTTCAGGTCAAACATGAGCACCTGTGCTGTAAACTCTCACTGCATTTTTGAGACGAGCTGCCTCCAAAGCAAACCGAGCAAAACAAGTCTCAAAATGCTTCAGAATTTCTGGCCTTTGTAAAAGTATAAATGCACACAGGCACAAATATTCACAGTATGCACTTTTATAATGTGCAAAAAAATAAAAAAAAGCTTTGAATTAGTAACAAGACAGCGTCACGTGGGTTCTGTTTCTATTAGTCGTGTTTTGTGACCGATAGAAAGACCAGCCTCAGAAATTTAAAGATGTGTCCCAACACAGGCACTCAGAGTTTGACCCAATATCTTTCTTAATGCTTAGATGTCAGATTTCAGTCATTGAAGAAGGCACAAAGTTAATCATGAGATTAAACTGCCAAAGTAAGTGTGAAATGCTGCAAGCACAACCAAAAAGTAGCTCGGAGAGAGCTGTCGGAGGGCAGGTTTATCTGGGCGACAAAGGTGGATCTCCTGGGAAGAAAAATCATACTGCTGTACACTGATGTCTTTAACAACATACGAACAAATAGTTAATAGTGAGGTTATTGTAATATTAAGAAGTTTCTTCCCCTCCCACCCCAACAGTGGACAGTCCAATGTCCTGAAGGCAGTCTTTTTGTTTTTTAAAGTCTCTCTGACAGTTTTCCCCTTCGTGCTGTTGCTCCTGGTCGTTCTCTTCCCTCTCCCTGTCCAGCCAGTTTTATCTCAAGCGGGAAGCTAACAGGGCCAGGGCGAGCCCGCAGAGCGCCAGCGCCATGCTTCCCCGTGAGGTGACCCCAGCTGAGTTATTGCTTTGCACTGGATTAACCCGTGGTGATCCAGCCACTTCACTTCCACCCGCTGCTTTTCCACCCCGTTCTTTATCAGACGTTGGTGGAACAGAGAAGTACATGTCGCAGTTCGGACCGTCGCAACCGCTGCCGCTCTCATCTCCGCTGCCGTCATCATCTAGGGGGCAAAAAAAGACAAGCAGGTGAGACGTGCAGCTAGGAAACCGAGTCGCAAAAGCTGTGAAGCTCATTAACCGCTCTCACCGCTCTCTGCAGTAATGTCGACGCCGCTGTGTGCAGCTTTGAGCCGGCTCGTCATTTCCTTCAAAACTGCTATCTGACTGCGGATGACGATGTCTGGTTTTGTTATGTCCACGTCCACGTCCGGGTTTGATATCTGATTGGCCAGCCCGCTGCCAATGACATCTGATTCGTACCTGGTGGAATCAAGTCTGGCATTAGACTTTAAATTCAATAATTTACAAGCAACGCAGTAAAATTTAGATTCTCTCTTTGTGAAGTCTGCGCCTCTCACCTGCTTTTCGCTGTACCATTCCAGCACTCATCACCAGCTGCAATCCCCTCGCTTACACACACAGTCTCTGGCAACGTGGACCAGAACTTTTTGGCATGCTTCAATTTCTTTTTTACTTCAATTGTCTGTTTAGAACACACAAAAAGAAAAAGGTCAAAAACAATTACTCAGAGTAAATGTGATATTCACTTCTTTGCCTTCTTAGTCCTCACCAGTCGATCTAAACTGGTTCCAGCAGCAGTGGTGGGTCTTGCTTCAGGACTGTAAGGGCGGAAGCGGCTGGTGAAGGTGGACTCTTTAACAGAACGTTTGGAACGAAAGCCGGCGCTTATTTTGGGCGTTCCACATCCTTGGAAAACCTGTCAGAGGAGGAACAAGAACAGAAATGTTTTACAGATGAAGACAAAATGATTAGCCACCCTGTGAAATGTTACGTTTTGGTCAAAAATGTCCTGAGTGCTTTTTTAACAATAGAAGGGATTTTCAACACAGCATTTCTAAACAAACTAGTTTCTTCAGAAAGCATAAATTATTTCTATTTGCCCACAATATAAGAATTATTTCAGACAAAAACAAACAAAATCATCAAGAAATGTAAAGACAGACACACAACGCAGAACACGCCTGGCAGCGGTGGGAAGCAAAAGACTAGAAAGAAAAATGGTGAGAGAACAACTGCCAAGACACCCGTGAATGACTTAGTCAAGTTTGAAATTGTAGTCTGAAGGAGACAATCACTATAGACCTGCACAGGAATGAGCTGCGAGGTTAGAGACCAGGAAAAACTTCTGCAGAAGAAACGCCTTCAAGCCAGACTGAGGTGTGCTAAGAACAACCTGGAGACAAATAATCCAGACTAGAAGAGCGTCCTTCGGTCAGAGGAGATGAAACTACAGCTCTTTAGCTGCAGACACTTTGCTGATGTTTAGAGAAAAAAGTAAGAGTTCTACAACTCAGAGGACACCGTCCCCACAGGGGAACACAGTGGTGGGAGGATCATGATGGGTTGATGCTTCAGTGTGTCTGGAACTGGGAATCTCATCAAGGTGGAAGGAATCATGAAGAAAGAAGTTTATGTGAAGATTTTAAAAGAAAACCTCGAGCAGTCAGAAACCAACCTGGGTCTGAGTCGTCTCTTTATCTTCAAACACAACAACCTAAAACATGTCGCTCCTGGTGAAGAACTACCGCCAGAAGACCAAAGTGAACGTTACTGACCGGCCAGTGCAAAGCCCTGAATTGAATCCCACTGAAAATGGGAGGAGCTTCAGACATTCTCCAAAGAAGAATGAGCAAACAAAAGTTTGTTCAGGAGACGCGTTTGAGACTGGCTGAAAACTACCATAAACGACTGCAAGCTGTTATCCAGCAAAAAGAGTAAACGACTATTAGCATCCAGGAGGTAATTATTTTGACCCTGGTAGTTTTTGTGAAATCATTTTGTTTCTATGTGCAAAGTAAAAATAATCTAAGCATTCAAAATAAAACAAGGATGTTCGGACAAGCTGTGCTAAAAGAATTCCTTCCTCTGCACTTGGAAGGGAGGGCTAATAATTCCATCCTCATCTCTTTTTATTTTGTTTAATTTGAAAGGCGCTGAAATGAGACTGACCTTCTGCGACACCTGCATGCTGTTCTCCTGCATGTTCATAATGGCGTCTGAAATCTTCACATCAATGGGATCCATGACAGACTCGAAATTAAAGGGACCTTCGAGCCTCTCGGCGAGACTGTGCATGGCATCTGAAAACCAAAACATAACAAGTTGAAATCAACACAGGGGAAAGCAATTACACGCTCCTACCACTAGGGAGAAGCACTCGCATTAGGGTGAGACATTTTTAACCAGTGAGATGAGCCATTAGTGTAGGGCAGGATCAAGCTGCAGCACAGCAAGGGGGCAACAGAAACCAGATGCCTCTGCAGACCGCAGCGGTGCCAGCAGCCAGAGATCGACACATGTAACGGTGATATAGTCAGAAACCATGTTTCTGGTCACAAGATCCATCATGCAGGATAAATATAAAGCACACAGTGAAGAACTGTGGATGTGTGCACCACCCTGAGTGTAATGTAACTGATCTGGGTCTGTTTGTACACAGCACAAGACTGCATTCATTCCAAGGGTCACCGCATGTACAGCCCCTCCCTCCCCCTTTTCTTAAACAACCTACTAAAGAATGAGGGACATGTTTTTACATGCTTTTCAACAATAAAACCGTTCCTATGTTAAATGTTTTTCTTCCAAAGCTGAACTGCAGTTTACCTCCTTTATTTACCCCGGGTCTATCATGTCACAAATCCCATTGCCACTCTGGTTTCATGCTCACAAGGAGAATAAGGGGTGCACGCTTAGATAAGAAAGTCGATGAAACTAATGATCTTTGAAGAAATATGAGTAAGCGGCAATGAACCCAGGAGCAGGAGGCTGCATAAATATACTCTGTTGCCAAATTAAACACTTTCAGCTATTATGGTTATAAGGCGGTGTAATCACGGGCAGGTTTCTGTTAAACAGTGGCTGCTAAAGGTGCCCTTGTTCGCATGTCGTCTGCTTACCGAGGAAGTTGTTCCACTCCGTGTCCAAGTCTGCCTGGTTAGCCAAACAGCCACGCATCACATTCAGACAGTAATTCTGGCAGGGTTTCAGGGCTACTTGGCCCGAGCAGTAGGGACAGTACAACATCTTCATGGCCGCTCGCACACAGCTGGGAGAGGCGCTGACCTGGAGTAGGCAGAGGGCAGTTAGTGGGCCGTTTTCATTACATCATAGCCGAAGCACTCACTCGACACCACCAGAGACACATTCTCATACTCTGAAAAAGCATGACCATTAATTGCATAAGCCAGATCCACAAAGCAGTTTAATCTAATCGCCTATGAATCACTCAGTACAGTGGAAAAACAAGTCATACCAGAACAGTCAGAGTGGTTTATGTTACCAGACAGAGAGAAAGAGAACTACAGATCAGAGATGTGCACTCAGAACCGGAGCAGGGAGGGATGGACAGGACTACAAGGAAAACAAGTCTCGTTCTCGGCTGTTAGTTTTTCTCTTTGTTGAAACTGTGCTCCGTCACTTACCGTAGAAACTTTATTGGCCACCTCAGGCATGAGCGCCAGGCCACGCACAAAGGTGCGTGCGGCGATAAAGGACCTCGTTAACTGGATGCGGAGCTTGCGGGGCACGTCGCCGAACGGCTGCAGCTCCTCCGTATGTCGGCTGACGCAGTCCATGTAGGTGTCGCTGAACTCGTATTGCACGTTGACCAGCTGGAACATCCTCTCCAAAAGGTCGGCCCAGAATTCCGACAGCATGGAGTCCAAGTTGACGGCAGCGCTGCCGGACACGTAGTACTGGGTCAGGGACTGGAAGAAGTTCTTGAAAAGTGCCGAGTTCTGCACATACATCATCCCGTATGTTTTCACAAACATGCTGTCCAGCGAGATCTCTGCGTTTTTCAAAAGCTCGCGGAAAAACTCTGTGGAGATGTGAAAGAAAGGCCGGGTTAGTCTACAGCCTGCGGGTGACAAAGAGCAAGAACAAACAGTGTCAGATTGTTTATATTTAAGTGTCTACAGGGAAGAGTTCAAGATGTCACGAAGAGAACATCTAAAGGAGCTCAGGGCTAAAGTTATGACTATCTGCCCAGTTGGACTTTTCCTGTTTTTTGTGACATTTTGAACTTACTGTTGTGTTCCTCTCTCAACATTTTAAAGGACTTTAGAGGCCCAAGTTTGCTTTCAGTACATTAAAAATTTTGCTGCCACCATTTGAAATCAGACTGACGTTACTCCCATTCACCTGTGCCCCACGCTTAGAACGAGCTTAAGCATAAAATCTTTAATGAAAGGCAAAAGGAATGTGTTAGGGGACAGTTGGAGACGAGGGGGTGAGCGCGGAGCATCAGCAGAGATGTCTCTCCACATCAGTGTGCTTCAGACTGACCACCATCAATGGCATTTTTCTGTTGTCACATTCCATTCGCCTTCCTTTCTGCCAGCTTCTCTTGGACTGTCCTTCAGAGACATTTTCAATAGGATTACGGAATAATGCGACCCCACAACCACCAGCAGCAGCAGCCCCTCCCAGCTACCGTATATGGACCTGTATGCACCCCCCTCCCACTACTATCCTACCAGCCCTGCATCTGCCTCCCTCCCCTGCTTTCACTTCATCAGTTCCTTCAGAGAGCTCTCTTCACTAGAGATGAGGAACAATGACCTACTTCATCCTGAGGAATGTCCATCACCCCCCTACCACCCCCCAAATAATCCAAGCCCCTTCTCCCAGACCCCACACCACCCTCCTTGCCCAATTTTCTTAATCTGAATAAAATGAGAATTCCACAGAGCCTCTGAAACATGTTTCACCTTCAGTCTCACACACACTCGCCCTTTTTATCCATTATCTGTGCCCCCCACCCCCCTCTCACAGAGCTTCTGTCCCGTTGCAGTTTCTCGGGGTGCCCACTGCGTGGCTTTGAAATGTAAAGTTCCCATGCTCTCGCAGGGGGAGTCACTAAATGCTCTCTGCTACCAGTACACACACAAACACACTCTCGCACATTCACACTCACACAGAGGACCCGAGTAGTGCTGTCACTTCCACTTCAGACTGACACACTAAAAAGAAAAAATGAGATAGAGGAGGGGTAAGGGTGGCTTGGGGCGGGTTAAGTTGAGGGCTTTTTTTAAGAACTTCAAATCCCTACTGTGTCGCCAAGGATACCGGAAACACTGCAGCCCCTCCATTTACCTCCTCGCCATCACAAGTGCACGCGCACACACAGACACACACACAGAGCCAGGGGAGAGGGCACCAAGTTCCACGCTCCATTGACAGAGATTAAAACAAAATGGTCCACCCCCACCCCTGGAATGTCATAGTAGCCACACTGACATGAAAGTCAGTGAAAGGAGACTGAGGAGGTGAAGAAGAGGAGGAGGAGGAGGAGGTGGGAGAGGCATGAAGCACGAGGACAACCCTAAACTTCTCCATTTCCTTTCTACAGTTAATTAGAGGAGTAATTCCTATATGCTAAACAGATAAGCTCCATTATGCGTCTGGACAAACCCATGGGTTTTTAAGAAGGGTGTGTGAGGGGTGGTGGCACAGTGGGGGCAGGGCTGGCGGGGATATGAAGGCTCTCTGGCCCAGGCTGAGGGGCCCAAGTATGAGCAGCATTACTCAGGCATCTTGCATTGTCATTAAAAACAATTTATGACACGCAGTCGTCTGCCAACAGGCCGAGGAGCTGAACGCTCCCTCTGGATTTCCCCATTAAAAATGTACCTGTCACTCAGCCAATGGTCTGAGAGAATCTGGGTGAAAGGTTACACATGAGAGTGTCAGCTGTAGGGAAATGTAAGGAAAAGGACGACTCCTGCTCGACTATCTGTCTTTCCCTTCCTGCACGCTCCCCCCCAGCTTGTCACTATTCCAACGTGCTGCAGAGAAAGCGCTAAATTACGAACAACGATCCTGGGCCCAATCCATCACAGGAACAGAGAAACTGACCGATCTCCTCCCACTTCCTCTTCCAAAAACTCCCCCCACTAGTGTCCCTATAAACTATGCTCCTCCCAATCCCAGCCCAGGCGGTAATTGCATCCTATTTGTGCCAATTAGTCGCCGAGCTTCTCCCTTTTCTTATGGTATGGGATTCCGTCCCTCCTGCTGCTGAGCTCGGTGCTCAGATGGATGTCGCTTGTATGTGTCTGGAGGCAATGGGGCCATAATCCAAGCGCTTAATTCCCAGACATGGAGTTGCTCTGCTGGACAGGGTCACTGCAGCAGGACAGGCTGAGGTCAGAATAAACACGCAGCGACGAGACACACAGAGAAAGAGAGAACTATTTCTGGCTCTGGTCTTAATTGGCCATGACTCTTCGCTCCAGGCGCATGATGAGAGCCTGCCCAATCACATACACTACTTCCTGAGTTTATTAGTGCGCGAGCGAACGCTGCGTTCGTCTTCATGTGCAGCTGCGTTTGTGCACATGTGCGCACTCCTTGTGATGTCACGGCCGCTGCTGTCATTTCTCTGCAACAGTAAGCAGACCAATGAGCACTTCCTGTTCCCATTTCACTAGCTGTAAGCGCTTCCTTCGGTGGCGTCTTGATGTGACAAAAGGAAATAATAGGCCGGCAGCCTGAGCCCGTCACCACATTTGATGTGAGAGAGAGAGAGAGAGGGCCTGGCGATTTAGGTAGAAGAGAGCACAGCAGGGCTTTGTAAAGAGATCCCACATCTAACTGTTGAGAGACTGCAGCAACCTGCCTACAGTGATGATGAGGAGGGAGCACGCAGGGAAGAGGTTCATGGTCATCCGTAGAGCTGTGCCCTTCTGATAAACTGGACGTTCTTTTTGGGCGTTGCCAAGCTTTAGAATTTTTGCGCAAGCCAGTTGTTATGACTCCGTTACAAAAACACTTCGTGCTGAATAATAGCGGAAAAATTCCTAAACAAAACAATATTTATGCAATAGTTGATCGGTGGTGCTCTGGATGGATAAACTTGACATAAAGAGCCGAAGCCACAATTGTTCAGAAAGATTATTTTTACGAAATTGTGGTTCTGGTATCAGTTCCTCTAAAAATCAAACACCATGAACACTATTTTAATCTCAACGTTCCACTCTAAAGTTGAAGCCTGTTACGGAAACAACATCTTCATTTGCTCGCACGCATCTCGGGTGTTGTTTTTAAACCTGGTTTGTAGTCGTTACCTAAACGTGACACTGACATTTCTGAAGCTGACCATTTGTTACAGGCTGTTTTTGTATATTATGGACGAGATGATTAAACGAGAAAATAATAATTTATAGACTTCTCAGTAATGAGAACAGCCCTTAATATTGCCACTAAGCACCAGATGAGTTGTGCAAGACAAACAGGGTGGAGGACATGCATGCGTGAGAACTGAGTGCAGTGAATCACAAGCAGCACTTGGACACAGTGAAGAGAGATGGAACGAGAAAGAGCGGCAAAGAGAGGGGTTTTTGGGAGAGTGAGGCATAAGAAGGGGACAAAGGGCAGTAAGAAAGGAGAAAAAGATGGGCGGGACAGCTCGAGCAGCCACTGCATTCCAACACGTCACATTCCTCTTCACATCTGGCTGCAATACACATGCTCCCTGTTACTCACCATCCCTCGCTGCCTTTCACAGACACATAAGATCTGACCCACATGTGTGCACACCAATGCAGAGCTATGCACATAACCTCCTTTAACAAGCAAGATTCCAATGCACCGGGAAACTAAAAATATTTTTTCTTCCCATGTTTTTCACTCAGCCTGTTTGGGAATCCTCATCCTCCCCTCTATCCTATCATCGCAGGGCTGCAGTGGTGGCATGGTTTGGTGGTTGAAGGTATTCAGAGCTGCCCTGCTTCCTCTGTGAGTCAGCACTGTTGCATGTTCCCATGCGCTCTGGCCCTCAGCAGGGGAAACCTGATCCCAATATTTACAGGCATACACACATGTGCTCACACACAGAGGAACAGGAAGTATAGAGACGACTAAATCTGAAGATGTGTGTGGTCCGTCTGGAAGCACGCGTGTCTCTCTGGAGAAAGGGAAGCCTGTATTTCTTTTATTTTATTTTTTTACATTTCCTTCAGGGGGACGATGAGACAGGGAGCAGAGACATTAGGAGACAGGTGGACAGGCCAGAAGACACAGACTGGCTGTCTCTGCTATGAGCAGTGCGCTGGCAGGTGGGAGTGTCCATCAAAAGGGAAAAAAAATAAAAATAAATAAAAGTGTAGCACAAATGCTGCGATGAGGAAACCAAAGCCAGTCTTACAACATAACCTGAAAAGCTGCATGTGTTTGTGAGCCAGTGTGTTTGCTTACTGTCAAAGTGGTCATGCCTCTGTTTGAAGGTGGATTGTAGGCTGGTGCTAAGCTTGGAGACGGGAGCTTTGATCTCCGTGTGGCTCTGCTGGCTTAGCTTCTCCTCCATCTCCACAGTGCAGCAGGAGTAGCCCTGCGGACACACTTTCAGGGGGACTCCTGGAACAGACGAGGGAGAACGTGCGTTAAATTTCCACGTCATCTGAGAAACATGCAAGTCAACACAAATTAACTCGAGGAACAAGTCCTGATTTGAAATAGAAACATAAAATTTAAGATTCGATTATGATGCTGTTAATGTCACTGTAGCAGCAAGTAATGCAGATCAGTCATTGATTTCTTCCCTGGGATTCAGACCTTATGCTGAGAAATAACAGGTTCACCTCTCACCAAATCAAACGCACCCTGGCTGTTAAAGCCCCCTTAAATGCACTTAATTGCAGCTCAGAGGAGCCTTTAGCTGGCCGCTTTATAGAGCCCCGCTCTTATCCCGACACTCCCCTGTCTTGATGGATAGTTCAGTGCCAAAGCTTTCTCTGAGTGCTGTCCCTCCTAAACAGTGTTTAAGAGGAAACGATTAACTTTTCGCCCACACTGCAGGTAAGTGCGCTGACGTCAACCACAAGCACATGAATGGAGATAAACATATGTGCAAGCACGCTGGGCTGAGGAGTCTGAAAATGCTCTCCAAGTAATGTAAATTAGAAGGTTTTGGACTCCTTATTTCGGTGTAGGGCTGCCACAAACGATTATTTTGATAGTCGACTAGTCATCGATTATTCTTGTGATTAGTCGACTAATCAGATCATCATCCATTGGACGTAAAACGTACAGCTTATTGCACCAGCACACATCTGCTCTTATATAACTATCATTAGCTTACAGCTTGAAGTGTTTAAGGTATGTGCTAACTAAAAATAAAGACAAGATGATAGTTTATTAAATTTTAATGAAATCTGCAGGTTGTTTCAGTGAAGTTTAATAAACTCATCTGTCTGCTCCTTGCTATCTAAAATATAACAGGACACTAGAGCCGGGCGATAGAACGATAATGATATGTATCGCGATATAACTTTTTCTCGATAGAAAAATTCAACTATCGTGATAGACCTCGCCACTCTTGTCCTCTTAAAAAAAAGAAAAAAAAAAAAGAACAGCCAATCCAAATTAAGTAGCGCAGAGCCACACAGCCGCAGCGTCACGTCACGTGATTTGTTACGCACAGCACAAGTGCCAAGCTGCACATGTTTATTTATTTGGGAAGCAGCCAGCCACCGTACCGCCCGGGTAATGGAGAAAATGAGTGTGCCGACTAGAAAAATCAACCGAGCGTGACCGAAGGTTACCGAAGAGAAAACAGATGATGGTTCCAATGCCAGAGAGATTGTCGAACGGAAGAGCCAAAGAAGTTCCGTAGTGTGAAGGTATTTCGGTTATTTCAAGTCTGACAAAAAACAGAGTAGCGTGCACTGTAAATTGTGCCGAAAGCAAGTCTGGAAATACAATAAACTGGTGCATGCGCTACGTCCACATGTACCCGGGCATTTTTGAAAACGCAGATTTTTCTATGCGTTTGCACCTTTCGTCCACACGTAAACGGCGTTTTTGGTCAGTGAAAACGAAGATTTTTGAAAACTCCGTTTTTGCATTTACGTGTGGACTAGAAAAACGGAGAAAACGCAGCGTCAGAGGTGTGTGCATTTTTGACGTCACACTGTGCGCCACATTATTGTTTCGGTGAAATGAATTTCTACAATACTGTTACTGTTAATTCTACTCTCTGCAGTGTTTAAATGCTTACATATACACACAGTTACTGTCCCTCCACACATACGACTCGGTTCTGCTTCTATGCCCCAGCTTTGTTTACTTTTTCCCCACCGAGGCTTCTAGACTTCTGATTGGCCAACATTTCTGCACGGTTAGGAATCTAGCGCCACCTGCTGCTTTGGCATGTTCATAGCAGCGTTTTCCTTCATTTCTCCCTTTATGTGTGGACGGGATTTTTTTTTTTTTTTTTTAAACGAAAACGGAAAATCTCAGTTTTCAAAAACACCCGTGTACGTGTGGACGTAGCCTCAGTCTCTGACTGGAAGCGCTAATTCGTCATTCAGCTTTTGTCAGACTAAAGTAACTGTTAAAACTGTTTGAAAAGCTCAGCTATACAACAAGGAGAGATTGAGAATTTCCTTTTAGTTCTCAGTTTATTTGATATTGACAAAAGTTAGTCAGTTTTGTCTGTTCTTCTGTAACACAAACTAAGATTTATTTTTAGAATTAATATTTTGTTTCTAAGTGGAATTGACAATTTAGTCTGTTTCGTTTGTTCTATTTTGAAACTTAAACGTTTTAGCGGCTGCCTTTTGTGTAGTTTGCAATATTTGCCTTTATTTATCTGAAAAAGTCTCATGTTCCTTAAGTACATCTACCCTGTTGAACTTATTATGGGAAATAAATATTTAAATAAAAACAAGCTGCTGATTATTTCACATTTTACTTGTGAGCAACGGCACATTTAAATCTTACAAATATAGTTATTTGGCTTATATCGTGATCGATATCGTTATCGCCTGAAATGGGAAAAAAACATATCGTGATATGAAAAATCTTATATCGCCCAGCTCTACAGGACACCGGAGTAAATTCTCAAGCATCTCACACTTCTGATAATCAGTTGTCTGCTTGACGTTTATTCAGCTGTGCAAAAACTATAACTTCAATCTAATCCAAACTGATTTACTCAGGAACAAATAAAATACTACAAAAAGCCAAACAATAACATTTTTAAGTTATCTAAGTGACTTATATTACATGTTTAACCTGAGTAGCGAAAGATGGCGGTGGGTTTGAAAACGATTTGCCGGGAGTCCGGTGGTCTCACGGGCTCTAGTTAGCCTTGCCCCCGCCTAGCTATCGAGCTAGTGGGTAACAGACGTCTCCGAAAACGGAGCGATTTTGAAAATATGTGGTGTCTTGATAAACTGAGCAGATATTTGAGGTTTACACAGCTACATTCTCGCCTGAAAATATGTTAAACGTTTATTTTGTGACCCAGAAAGAATAATAAGAGTAATATTAAAACTAACCAGCTGCCACCATTGTTGACAACTGCGCTGGGCCGTGCTATGAATTCCGGGACACAGCTTCTTCTTCGGGGTTTAACGGCAGCTGGCATCCTTGTACATGCAGTGCTGCCATCTTCTGTTTCAGTCCGTTATTACACTCTTAAATCCTGCTACTTATTCCTGCGTCTTTTGGGATCTTACAAAGCTTCAAACGACGCATCGACTATTAAATCAGTCGTCGACGATTTTAATAGTTGATGTAATCGTGACTAGTCGACCAATCGTGGCAGCCCTATTTTGGTGTGAACTGAAAGTGTATATATGCATAAGATTTCCATCAAGAGTAAGTGCCAAGTGATGCCTTCTTCAAGGCTCGTTATACTAGACAAGTGGTGTTCTTCTCCCCTAGAATCTCAGCACGAACAGCTGGGGTACAAAACTGACAGACATGGCTCTGAAAGATTGACTCGATTAAAAACAAAAACAAAACAGCAGCCTGTTCATCTCTGTTAAAACCCAAATACTGTGTCTGACAAAATGCGAACTGCCAAAAGTCAGGTTACCATCCAATTAAAAGGAGGGTCAATGGAGGACGTATGCAAGCCGCAGCTGCAATAATGTTTTGTTTTAAATGTAGCTGTTGGAATCTGGGAGAACACAGGGATCCTTTCACTGGATCCCAGCACCAGCAGCCAGTTTAGTTTTCCCCACCAGCTTGTGCTGAACACGTTCCTGCTACTTGCAGGACTAGCATGTCATTCATGGACTGACGCTTTGGGATTATCAGCCACACTCATTCAAAAAAATAAATACATAAAAATCCTGGATTAGTGTTTTCAGATTTCACCAAGTTCCCACATTACTGACACACTATTAATACTTGATACCCTCACAGTTATTCAAAAAGGTTATTATTGGTTTATACATTTTATGACAAGTTGAGACTTTTCAACATTAAAAAAAACAAACAAAAAACCCAAAACCCTGTACTTCCTTTAAGTGACACTAAAAGAACCGTATGTAAACCACATCTGGCCATTCCATTCACTAACATGTCCTGAATAAACCTGGCAAAGCTACCTTAAGCTCATCTTTTGTTCCCGTCACTTTCAGCGCTGATAATCAGTTATTATTCACTTCCTTGTGTTACTCGTTTCTGTTACACAGGGAAGCTGCTCTGCTGCAGCTGAGGTTCTGCCTGTTGAAACTGGTTTGATTACATTAAAATCAAAGCATATGACTGGGATTTTTCCCCCACCTTGTGTTATCTTCAAATGTTTAATGCGTTGCTATGACAACCCTGACAATGTGGATGTGTTTCTCTGTGACATCTTGAGGCTGCTTTCATTACTGCTGTAAATGTAATAGAAGACGCCCATTGAATTCTATTAGCAAACAGGGCCCGACTTTTGGTGATTTTTCTTGGCGGCACAGCATAAAAAGATTGCGCATGCGCGCGCACACACGCACACACGCACGCGCACACACACGCACACACACCAAGATTTTCTTCAGCACAGTGAATCAAACATATCATAGTTCCTAGCATGTTTGAATAAGCACCTAGAACTTAAAAATAATGAAACTTAAGGGTCAGACGTGACTCTCAGCAGTGCAATCGTCTAAACGGGGCACCAGAGGGAGGGATGCACCCTGGCGCCATAAACTGGACGCCTCTGTCTGGGATTGAGTCCAAATAAGCCTCAAGTCACCCCTTCTCCTCAAACTCATCCCCCTTGTTCCTTTAAACATATGCACCTACCTCTCACACATACCCAGGCACAGTTGGCACCCCATACCTAAACATATTCACACATCACATCACCGCTCAACACATGGCTCTTTGTATGAGGAGCCTGATTGGAGGTACCCAGACACACACAAACACACACAAACACACACACACAGGCTGAACTTTTAGGTGAAACAACCATCCAGTCTCTCCTCGAGCAGGGCCCCCTGCTTGCCCACAGCGCAGGCGTACAATCAAAAGGGCTATATCCATGTGGAAAATAGACGAAGTTACCAAAGTACACAAATAAAAGTGAGATGGTCAATATTTCACAGGAATGTCTGTACAAATGTCACATTGTT